GGGGGGGGGAAGAGGGAAGAAGGAGGGAGAAAGGGAAAATTTTTAATTGCAACATTTCATCTTTTGAAACTTTTAAAATCACCGATGAAAAGACAGCTCAAACTAAATTTAGATTTTTTTTTTTCAATCATTCAACCTTACATTTCTAAGCAAATATATGGTTCAATATCGAGAGGTCACAGAACGTGGACATCAATTTCCTGCTTACTAAGTAATTATGAAAGAGAAATTTGTCCTTCATAAAAGTTCACGTGTCGCAATTATTACCAATTAAGGCAATAATTCGATTTAAACAAAAACGAAGCTATTTTTACATTTGGAATGTATCTCATTAAAAGTTACTCTTCGGCAAAATGGAATTGTTAGAAAGAGAAAATGAAATTTTTGAAATTCACTCCCTACTGCTCATTAAAATAATATGAAAGCATTTTAAAAAAAGGAGTGAATTCCAGAAATTTTATATGGTGCTAAAAAAAAACTTTTTGTACCTTCGGCCGCAACTTATTAGAAATCTTTCAAAGCTTCTTCTTTTTTTTTCTTTTTTAGAAAAAGAAAGAAAAGAATAGAATGATGAAAAGGAAATTCTTATAAATATGAAAAAAATAATAATAGGATTTGTGAAGAAAATAAAAAAGTAGGATTTATGCAACTTCTTTTTTTATATCAAAGAAATGGTTATTTGAAAACAATAACTGTAATTGAATATTCGATTTTTAACATGCTTTTATATGTATAGACCGGAATAACTGCGCATGAACATGTATGCTTAAATCTATATATTTAAGCAAAACAATACAAATAACAAATATATTTAAATTCAAATAAAGTTGTAACAAACCTTTGATTTTAATCAGTACAATAAGAAATGCTGATTTGAAAAAAATAAATAAATTTTTGATGGTTAGTTTTTTTTTTCTTTAATACAAAAAGTGAAGTTTTGCAAAGAATCTGCAATACAACTTCTACCTCTAAAATCTATCAAAAAACTTGCATAAAAAAGTTGCTAAGAAAAGAAAAAAAGGGTTCAGGATAGTAACGAAATTATTAATAATAAATAAATAAAAATTAATGATATTTTAAAAAAACAGAAAAAATTTTTTACAAAAAATCAAAAAAGATGGAATGGCAAAAAAAAAATGATAATAATGGTGGAATGGAATAAAATGATAGAATTGAAGGATAAATATTAGAAATGATTGTTGAAGGAATTCAAAAGAAAATATTTTCTGATTATAAAATCCTTGTTATTAACAAATATGTAAACAAACAATCGGCTAACTTCTATCACTTTCAATAAAGCAGTAAAAATCTTTGATACCCCACTTGCAAAATACATTTTTGCTTGCAACATGAATAATCCTATACAATAAAAACCATACACCATTATTGAATGATAGCCGCTTGTACAACAAAATATATTAATGACAGATTTGAATTCCATTCTCACACAAGCTCTTTCCCTCTCTCTCCCTCTCTCTCTCCCTCTCCTTCTCTCCCCCTCCCTTTCCCTCTCTCCCTATATATATATATATATATATATACTAATTCAAATAATATTTATTGATCAGCAATTTATAAATTATTTAATAAGCACAAAAAAGAGAATGAAAAAGAAAGTTTTAATTTGATAAGAAAATTTTATCAAATATATTTTAAAAAGAAAGAAAACACACATACATAAAAACGAAAATAAAAGATTATCATAAAGATAGTATTTTTTAAAAAAAAGGGCTTATGAAAAGTTTTAAAAAAAAGCAGAAATATATAACATTTTGGTTGAAAAAAAAAATTTAATATTAGCAATGATTTCATATAGTTGAGAGAGAGAATGAAAAAATGGTATGATTATCAGAATGAAATAAATGATAATGGAGAAAAAAAAAAAAACATATGTAATTGAGAAAATATAGAATTTGAAGTGCCTGTATTTGGCCTCTAAAAATATGTAGAAGTGATGAGATGGATCGGTCTTCTTAAAATATGTGCGAAAGTGAAGGATCAAATTGGCCAGTCCTTTTGCGCCTTTAATAATTTTCTCTGTTGTATACAACATTGGACATAACTGTATGGACAATATAACAATTTCCTTCATTCTTTTCTCATCTCTTCTCTTCTTGTCATTTTAGTCAACATTGCTGTTGTCATCATTAGTATTGAATGTTACCATTTAAATGAAATGAGTACAAACTTCATTTTCTATCTTTTCCTCTCTCTCTCTCTCTCTCTCCCTCTCTCCCTCCCTCTTTCTCTTTCTCTTTTTCTTTCTTGGATGAAATTAAATCAAAATATTGCAATGATTTTGATAGAGGACATCATGCAATGTATTTAATGTAAACAAATTTTGTAAGTATTTTACGCTTCATCAATCTTTCACAGACTAATGATATAGCTGTCATAACTTTCTCTCTCTCTCTCTCTCTCTCTCTCTCTTTCTCTTTTTCCTTCTCTCTCTTCCTTTTCGTAGTAAAATAGTAACAAAATTTTCTTTTAAGCATCCAGAAATAATAATTTCACGTTATGCATTCATATTCTTTTACTCTAAAAATATAATCTTAACTATCGGTCTTTCGGAATTTTTTCGTCTTTTTCAACTTTTAATTTTAATATTTTTTTTTTTAAAATGTAATTTAAATTTAACCCAGTAGAAGGAACAATAGACATGAGAAAGATAACAGAATGAGATTTTAAATCTTCATTTCCTTTCTTTCTTCTTTTTCATTTCTTTTTTTTTTTGCATGTTGTCGAAATGCGCAAACAATCATGAAATCTCCAACCATTTCAAGAATATCATTAAATTTTAATTTTAAAACTAACCACGGAAAAAATCAATTCACTTTTTTACGCTACTTTATTTCTGTGCCTTCATGCCCCAAAAAATGATAAGAGATTTTCTAATTTCAATTTTTTTTTTTTTTTTTACAAACAGGAAAATTTTGGAATGAATTGCTGCACTATATTATCTAATACAAAATCACAAAATCTCATATATGTATTTGAAAAGCATATCAAAATTTAACAATGCACGAAAGAGTAGCTCGCTACTTTTAAACGTTAGCATTATTAGCATCATTTATATGGCCTAACTGATTAGCTGTTAAAAACAAGGGAATGTTGCGCACGTTTCATAGAAATAATATAATTGATACTTACATAAATTTATAAATTTCTAACCGAAAAACTATTGCAGAATCAATTGAAACTTTTATATTCTTATTTAGAACAATTTTAAATTTTAGGATTTTTGAAAATATGAGCAAACATTATTTAATGAAACAATTAGTATTGGGAAAAAAAAAACTTATGAACAAGCAAAGCAAGAAAAAAAAACAGAGCATCCGACAAATTCTAACTTGCTGACATACATCAAATTCATTTATTATCTCATAATTGCGTTATCACTCATTCGATCATAATTTGTCACTGCAAATTGGATAATTTAATTAAGTGATAGAAATATTTTTTTCATCTGACAAAAGTTAGTTAGTTTTAAATCCACGTGCAAAATGAACTGTGTGCAAGGATGCATTCAAGAATAATAACTATCCATCTAATGCTGGATTTTGCAAACTCAAAAAAAAAAGCAGACAAATTCAATTTTTTTTTAAATGAAAAATTGAAGGGAAAGGGGAAAAAAAGTGACTTATTTGTCATCAGATGTTTAAGTTTCATTAAGTTTTTGTGTGAAACAAAGATATGTTTCAGCTATTTGCACTTTTAATGTTGATTGGTTCTTTTTTTTTTTCCTTCGTTTTCTTTTCTCAACATATTATGATCAACAATTTTTTCTTTCATGATATTGCAGCTTTTATAGCACATATTTATTTACAATCAATCTGATTCAGAGATTCAATAAATTTTTCAAACATTTTAAAAAAAATTAAAATCAAAAATAACTATTTGCTTTCATATTAGCTATCTGTTGTGTGTTTGTCAAAAACAGATTGCTTTTTAAACTACTGTCCGGTTAAAATAGATAATTGAATGATTTTAGGAATTATCATATCATATGATATTATTATCATTTCAGTAAAATGAAGAATGAAATTCTGCATTTTTTCTTCTCGGAAGGTAAGATTTCAAAGTTATTGTCAATTTAATAATGACTTGATTATGCAATTTTTCAAATAACTATCAGATTTGATAAAACACAGGAAATATTTAGTTTTGTTCATAAATCAATATAGTATATTAGATTATCCCACAATCTACCACCAAGTGAAAAAAGCTGATCGTGTCTGAATCTTTTGTTGATATGCTTCGGGCCATGTTCGTGGTTTAATATTTCGCCATTGAGTTTGTGATAGTGATATACCAGATGATGATGGATGATCAGTAAGACTTTCTTCACCTAAAATATCGATAAATTAAATCTACTGCTGCTAATTCCGAAATTAATTTAATTTGAATTAGCTTTTCGTGTTTTACAACAGTCTATAAAACCTGCGAGATCATTAAAAAATAAAAATGAAAGCAAAAAAAAAAAAAGCTCAACTGTCATCTTTGTACAAACCATTTTGAAAAAAAGTTTTAGAAAGTTTATCTAACTGATTCAAATGCCAAAAAATCAGTGCCAGTAATTTTTTATTTACAATCAATTCTTTAAAAAAAAAATGCTTATCTAAATGCTTGACAGTCTATCTTCAAGTACTTTATCAAGGATTTTTGACGCCACAAATTAAAACCAATATCACAAATTATCATCTATTTTTCATGAATGCTAAAATTAAAAATTAACTGCTGTATTATTTCGTAACTTTTACGTATTTTTTACAATTCAACTATCATCTAATATTGTAGGAACAATGAAATTACAATTACTTCATTCAAGATAATATAATAATTTCTGAGAATTATACTGTCCAGAGACAGTAATTAATTCAAAACCTGCATCAGTAGTACTCATTGATCGCCTATAACGTGATATCGTACGTAACCGTCGCTTCTTTTTTGATTTCACTTCTACTATTAATTGTGGTTGCATCTGTAAAATTTATTTTACAAATATTCATAAATGCAAACTCTAATAAAGATTGTCTCTTAAAATATTCAAAATATTTAATCAAAAATCAACATTAAATTCTGGATAAATGATCATACCTGAACCAATTGTTGAGGTGATTTTCGAAGACGCAAAGCTTCACGAAGATTAAAAATTTGTCCTCTTAAAACACTAAGCTGCAATTCGAACATTTTCTTGTCGAAACCTGGATCTTTCTACAAAAATCATAAATCATTGCTGAGCAAAATATTTTTTTTTTTTATCATTTTTGAAGAATTGAAATATGCTCAAAACTAAAGCAAAATTTATCACATATGCATTCAGCTCTTAATTTTTGACGATCATTTAAGCAAAACCAATTTTTTTTTTAAACATAATTTCTTATCATTCTAATAAATTATTTAAATGAAAATAAATTGTGGCCTTCTGTTTTCGTATTTTTTTCTCCATTTTTTTTAGTTCGTAGGACAGAAACCAATGAATTATAAATTTTCCAATGAAGTATCTATAAGACACGAGCAAAAAAAAAAGAAACAAAAAGTCAAAATTTTTAAACCAACTTTGGCCTATTTCTATATTAGTTCAAGTTAGAATATGATATCACAAAGATAATCTTGTCAACAAATTCTTTCCATAAAATAATTAATCTACTGAAAATATCTTAATTTCTGTCACAATTATAAGGATTAAAAAAAAAGATTTGCCTGAAATAATTTTTTCAAATCATTGCAAAGTTCAAACATGAAATCTATATCATCTAATTGAGGAAGTACCAAATTAACAATTTCCTCACTAAACGGATTTTTTGCCATTGGTAACCAAGCCCAGCTATACGGATCTGTAAAAAACATATTGATCAAAAAAAAAAAACAATAAAATTAAATTAATACTTATCATAGATGTTCAGTTTTTTCTTTTTTTTTGAAAAGATATGATGACAAAATAAAATGTAAACTTATTTTTAGCAAAATTTAAATGAAAGGAAAATAATTTGGAATATTCTATCAGCTAAAATATTAAATAAATAATTAAATTGCATTCACATGAAATGATATCCTCTGTTTTCGCAGATCAGATAATGAATGCTTATTGCTTAATGAAAAAAAAAAAGAAAAAGAAAAACAAAACTGATGGTATGTTCGAAACAATTAATTTGAATTGAAATAGTCAATCTTCAGACTTAAATTATAATTCAAAAATTCAAAAATCTGAAGAATTAATAGATAATATTTTCGATTAAAATTCATTGCTTGCTGAGCTAAAGTGTAACACAGTTAATGATATAAACTACTTTCAGCAAATCAAAATGATACTGATGATGATAATCAGATAAAAATTTACATGTGCGCCATTCATCGGGATGTTTGATCGGAAAAGCTAATCCATTATCAATTGCAGCTATTTCTATTTTCGGCTCATCCATTTGATCCCAATTTCCTGTATGTACGTCACAGTCCAAAATATCCATAACAAATCGATCCTTTCCATCTGCTAAAAAGTAATGTTTTTTTTTTCCTTTTTTTAAACTGAAATTTTCGAAATTCAATTAATATATATTCAAGGTTTCATTAAAATTTGTTATATTTTAGAACAATTATTTTTTGCAGCATGAATAATAAAAATTTCATTTTCATTCAGATCATTCATTTTATCATAATAATTTGATATAATTATTCGGAAATTAGCAATTTAAAAATTTTGATCACAAAAACATTGTATTAAATGAAGTGAAAATTTGTCAGTAAAGAATGATTTAAATGAAATTCACCAGTCTCATGATCGATATTGCTATGTACAATTCCTTCAGCATTTTCATTGGTAGCTGCTTCATCGACAGAAATCTCAATGGGTAACAACAATATTTGAGGAAGAAAAAAGTAATAAAAATTTTAATTCATAAGAAATTTATAAATTAAAGCTGAGTTTTGATAACATTTCATAATTCGCAATTATTTTAGAAAGATAAGATTGAGTGGTTGTTAATCTTTGACTCTAACTAAATTAATTAATGTCCATCTTGCAACATATAATTTGCATTTTTCGGTGCATTTCCAAAACTTCTAAATACCTTTAATTTCTGAATCTAACTTTTTTGCTTGCAAAAACTTGAAGCTTGAATTTTTAAATCTGGACATTTATTTGGAAAATTTGAGAAGAAAAAATAAAAGAAATAAAACTTTCATCAAGAATCTTTTTTTTAACTTTTACATGTCCTTTCTCTAGCCACAAAATTCTAACTTCGGTATTCTACTACAGTTACAAAAATAGCAAACGTAGAGTAATCTTAAAGTAGTAGAAAATTAAGAATTGACTATTTGGTTATAAACTAACTATCAATAACAATTTATTAAGCAAGAATTAAATGATCTAAAGAGTGACGGTATGAATTATCGTTAAAAAATAACTTATTCTTTGCATTACTTAACGAATTTTTATTCTTTGCATTATTTAACGAATTTTTCTAGTTCCTAAAAAAAAAAGCATTCTTCTATTCATAATTTACTAATCAAAAAAAAAAAAAAACAAAAATCACCGTATCTTTTATTGGTGTAGGATCTTGTGGAACAACAATAAGATCAGTTATTGGTTCATACTTAATTAACCAGTTATCATTACCACGATCTAAAAAAATTAATTCTCAAATTTCCGAAAAAAAAGACAATTGATTTTTTGATAAATATAAAAAAATATGAAATATATCAATACCTGTATTTCGAATAATATAATCCAAGACAACCATTCGTTCAAATAAATGCTGAAATCGTTTCATTGTAGCCGATGATGGTGATATTTCTCGATGCATTTCCCATTGTCTTAACCAATAGCTTGCATCTACATAACCATGAACAAATAATTGAAAACTTCCAACCTACAGTGAAATTATTAATTGTTACAATTATTAATCATTAATATTAATTATGATGATTGAGAAATTATTCATTACATTTTATTTTTCTAAAATTTACCATTTATTTCCTTATTTGCAATGTGCAAAAAAAAAAAAAATTGTCATATTTGAAAATAATAAGACATTTATTAAACTACTACAATTACTTTTCTTTTTCTTTCAAAAAAAAAAAAATAACTAATTCCCTTGTGAGTATTAAAAGAATGCAAGTAAGCTAGTAAAAGTAAGGATAATTTCAAGGCTTTGCTTCAATCAAATATAATCTAGTCGAAGTGTCACCAATTGGAACAATGATGCTTTCATACAAAATGAATAATACATCATCGTACTAGGCTCTTTCTTTCTATTTGATAAAGAACAAAAGAAAAAAGACTTGTTCAGCAAAGGTTGATGCTTTCTACTCTTTTTTCTATCTATCATATAACATAATACTAAAATTTTTGAAAATTATCCAAAATCGAAAGAAAAAAATACAAAGATATGTTAAATGAAGAGAAATAAAAAAATTCGAAATTTGAAACAAATCCCAGTTTTACGATGAAATCTGACTTTTTTGATTCAATTTCTTGACAATTAATCCATAAAAATACCTTTGGTGGTAAGCCAATTCGATGGAAACGTTTGCCAATTTCCGGATAACGTGTACGTATTCGTTGTTTAGTTCGTGCTTTAGCACGATCGATACGTCCATAATTAAATGTTGGAGCAGCTAATGCGACAATATTTGTTTGAGGTACAATATTCAGTTTTAATTTCTGATCAATAAGTGATGCTCCAACTTCTGATAAATAACCCTAAAATGAATCAAAAAATATTCACCTTTTCTCAAGAAAAAAAGACTTTTCAAATGTCATATGTCTTTTTTTTTCAAAATATCATTCATAAAATATTGTTTCCATTACGGAATATACTAAAATTTAAATTTAAAATTTGAAGAATCTATATTTTTAATTAAGAATGCGACATGATTAAGATGATGTAATGAAACCGACAAAATAAAGTATTTCAAAATGACTAAGTTCGAAAAAAATCCTTTAAAATTCTTAACTTTGCACTAAATGAAGTGATTCACAGCATTTTATGAACTGACATTTGAAATATATTTATTCAACAAAAAATAACTTAACATTTATGATTGCTTTGAATCTTTTATTTTTAAATCCCAAATTATTAAATGCATTCAGTAAATGTTATATCCAATGATAAGATTGGATACTGGTAAAGTCGGTTTTAAGATTTATTAAGTATGAAAATAAAATTTATAACCAAAAAGTGGAAAAAAATTCCCCTGGAAAAAAGCGAGAAAA